GATGTGTATAAGAGCCCCCCGTCCCCCCTCTATCTCTCTCTTCTTGGATATATTTATTTGTATTGACATTGAGAGACAGTCAATTGACTAATATCTACAACTGATTAGTCAACTAATTACGTGGACTATTACCTTTTTCGGTGACCGCTTAAGAAGTTCGGGTCGCAAATGAACTTTAGCAGTTTATATCATTCGAAACTTGAATGTGTACCTGTGGAAGATGAAAAAATAGTTTTTGTCTTGAAAAAATGTTGTAAAATATTTGATTGATAACGATAATGAACTGATTAAAGTTTGAAATCATCTACCATATATCCTACAACCTTCGAAGAAGTTGTCTTAGATCGTTAGCCCAGGTTGTGCCATCCTCTTACGACTTCAATAGCTCTAATTAGGTTCAGAAGAGAACTTCATTGGGTTGAGAAATTCGAATAGATTGTTATCGGATGTTATGATGTTTCTTTTTGATATCAGCTCAGACTCTTAATGGCTATCAGTCCAGCCTTGTGACCAACTTGAATTTTTGAATATTTGAATGGTCAAATATGTCCGGTAGCAAGATGGCCATCCATGATTAGAAGGAAATCGGGAAAAGAAGAAGAAAATGTTAAAACTAATTGGAATGAACCGTCTACAAAGAATATTTATCCAAGATGCCATATAATCGTCAAACGGTTCAACGTGTTCTAGGAGAAAAAGCTGATAAGGATTGTTCAGCAGAGATTTGGCGCATTGATGGCGAAATGAAATTGGAATGGAATTAATGTTGCAAATTGTAAAAGAAATACAACTTTATAACAAATTCCTATGCTCCTCGTAGTGAGAATGAACAGTACCCACTTCTGAATGTACTATGGAATAGCTGGTAAACAGAGCCATAGACGATATGGGATGTTAGTTCCATGGGTGTTCGTTGTCCTGAAGAGGGAGAACAGAGCTAGTCATATGATTCCAAGTGTTGGAATAGAAGGAATGCTTCTGACTGTGTCAGCCCCCAGGATATTTTCATCCAAAAAGTTGCTGGCCCAGTTCCCAGACGATAAGCTGCAGTACTTGGATCCCAATTGCTGGCGCCATTGATGATTGTTCAACATTTTTATTTCCAACTACATGAAGAGAAGGAAAGACCATAATAGCACATGTGTATACATAAATCTTTGATGGAATTGATTTTATTGAATTACTAGTTGAACTAGAACTGGCAAAAGCCAAAACAATCAAATTGTTTAAGATAAGAGCTTTACTCCAACATTGAAACATCGAAAGGTTCCAACCGGTGCTGGGGGGGTAGGAAGGGTTAGTCAACTCAAAAGCTGAGAGTATCATCATAAGGCGTAGCTTATACGTAAGTGAGAGTGTATTCATTTGAAACTTTCTAGAGCTTATGCCTAGCTATTCACATTTCCCTTTTTTCCTTACAGTTTTTGATTGTCAATCTATCATCATTAAAGGCTTCTCCAACTATGTTTGAGCTTCTGTGCCAGCCACGAGCATAAGCCTATCAGCTTGCCCTTTTTCGCCTGTTTTAATCAAGCCAACTCATTAATATGTCCGTCTCTCTCTGCAATTTTCCTGTTTCTTCTCGTTTATTCGTACTTCTTCTAACAATTTACTTGTCATTCCCTCCTTTTTTGCCTTTTTCCATAGAAAATTAAAAAATTTTCGTCTTATCACTGCTTCAGTAAAGGTCAATCCTATCATCCTGTTCATTGTTTGTTTTAATGTTTTCCATATAAGTCAAGAAGCTTTTACTTCTTAATACGATTACGTTTTATTAAACATACAACACCTATCATCTACTTACCGTAATCTAATGTGCGCCAAGTTTGTGCGAAAAAGCTGATGATGCTTTTCCATAGAATACAACCGCTCTCTTCCTACGCGCATTTCCAAATGACCACCTTGCATATACGCGTCATGTACGTGGGAAGATAACACGTGAAGTTTCACGTGAAATGAATAGCTATTGATGAAATCCCCTTAAAGTGTGTATGTAGTATTACCTTATTTCGAACCATAAATTGCCTGTAAAGTGACATGTTGAGATGGCCATGCCATCAGTCACATAGAGCAGATGGTCGAACGCATGTTCATCTGATTCTGACGATATCATCAAATCTTCTCGTCTTTTTCATGTCATTACCATATGAAACTGATAGAAAGAAAAAAAATAAATATGCACAGGAATATCCTTGGTGTGTTAATCGTTTGTCATCTGCACTCCGCAGCTCAGATGGCCGACTGAAGAATAATGTTTGACGACAACTCAGACGATGATGAGAGAACGATGAATTTCGTTCAGATGTCGTTCATTGCCAGTATATGTAGTCTTTCTTTTTTTTCTCATTTTTTCATCCTCACACACAAAGAAAAAGGAGAAGAAGAAGTGTATATTAAGAGAAGAACATGAGATTGGCTTAGAATGATAGATGCTAAAGGAAGATACAATAAGAGATTTCACAGCCATTTGTCAAACTCTCTCAACCTTTCTCTTTCGTCTTTCATTTTTTCTTTTTTCCTTTATTGTCTTCAACAGACTGTAGACGAAAGGAAAAAGCTAGAGGAGTTCATATGCTGTTCTACAACGGATATGAAATATGGCTTGCGCCCCTTGCGAACTTCCCTCTAGTTCGTCTTTCTATTCTTCATCTTCATCTTCTACCCTCCCATGAGAAAAAAACTTCTCACAAAGATAGTCAATTAAACTATCGGAATTGAGAAATTGACGTTGAAGTGCACACAAATCTTCCCTTCTAATCAACTGAAGCGAAATTAAGAGAGAAACTTCGTTTATTAGAATAACTTGAAATTCTCTTTCGCTTAGCCGCAGGCAACATCTCCCCCACTGAGTTAGTCATTTGATTTTTTAAAAAAAGCAAATGAGAGACAAGGGCAGCACACTGTTGGATATCGTCGTGAAAAAAAAAGAAGAAGAAGAAGAATTTCATAAATCTAATTGCTAGTTGAGAGAAGAGGATTCGCAAAGTTTGAAAAGGAAACAAGCAAACCGTATTGGTTTTCACCCTAAGTGATCACTTTTACTTTTCTACAAAAGCAATTGTTTGTTTTTGATAGAAATCGGTGAGATCTCTAGGTATGCCCATTTACGGAAGCTTGTCATGGCATCAGAGTGACAGAAGTAGAGTGTGAGGATGGTTATCTTGTCTAATCTCTAGCACTTAATACAGCTGTAAGCAATTACCTATTGCTGTTTCATAGCAGATGACGTGTCGATGACGTGAACATGCTTGTAGATGACAGTTAATGATCATTTATGGCTATTACTTGATTAAGATCATGTATAAGCTTTAGATAGATATCTTATAAATGATAAAATCTTATAAGAATATTGTCAATTTCCTTAATACAACTTGACACCAACTTCCTCACCTCAAGATGCTGTTGAGATAATATTTTGACAACAAAATTTCAATCACGCAAGTCTTTCCTCCGATCTCAAGGCCGTTATTCATATTTTAAATTAATTATACGCATAGTTTAATCTCATTCTCTCTTCCTCTCTATCTATCCCACCATTCTTGTCTCCTTCCCTAAGCCTTCCATTCTTGAATGCAACCGCTCATTCTTCAAAAATTATCAGAAAATGATTTCACGTGAAACCTCACGACGGCTACGTGTTCACGGCATGTGCCACTCACGGTCTTATTCAAATTAGACGTGAAGGCCATCTGCATGTAATTCCTTGCGGGAAAGATGGAAAAAAAAGTTTTTTTCTGAAGTTTTAACCAAATAAAACAAACTTTCCCTCGTATGTCAATAAATCCTAATTAGGAAATGGTTTTTTGCTTCTTCTTCTTGTTTTTCCTCTTCTGACCTTTGTTTACACACTCACACCTGTTACAGCTTGTTTAAGCTTCGTCTTAATTCATTATCAATGTTTGTGCACAAAAAAATGATTATGAATCCCTTAACTATGTGTATAGTATATACTAATTAGCATATTACTATTAGCATGCGGTAAATATGACGTGACATAATAGAAGTGTAATAAAAAAAATGTTTTTTTGTTCTTCTATGAACAGTCTCGCCGCCAAAGAGCAACAGCGTGAGACTTTATGATGATTCTGACCCTTCTTTACTCATATTCCTTTACTATCTATTATATAATTAACATATATGGTTATCTGAGAATGGAAAGAAAGAAAAAAAATTTTGCGCGAAATGTTGAAAATTATCGTCGTCTTATCAAAAAAGTTATACGGTAATTGTATAGATTTTGATTGATAAAGCTCTAATTTGGAATCTTTTTCGTTCTTTTTCCGACTCCTACACTCCCTGTTCCTCTATCGTTCTCTCTCTATTCCTCTCTCTATAAGTATAAAGAGAGAGGGAGGGAGTTCTTATTCTTCCTATCTCACTCCTTCCATTACTATAAAGAGAGAAAATAGTTTTCTGTGATTTTACAAAACTTTAGTTGAAAGTGAACTACCTCTAAGTATGCTCATCTGTATGGGAACGTTTGAATGATTCCTTACTTCCCTTCTTGTCCTCATCCTCAAGTCATCCTATCGAACATCCCTTGGCTATTGAGAGCTCTGAACACATTCTTTTACATAACTTTTCATAAAAGTCATAAGAAGCATATGTTCAAATTTGACCTTTCAATCCCTCTCTCTCTCTCTCTCTCTCTATTGTCCATACTCAACCATTTTCCATTTTTTGTCGGCTTTTCATTTCCGTTCAATAATTCTTTATTTCTGTGGTCAGATGTGTGAAGCCAGATGATGCCATTTCATACCTTTTTCGATTAGACAATGCGCCAACAATCTTTTGATTATTACCGTAACTCTCTCCCTCCCTTCCTCTCCCTCTCTTTCTATTCAAAAGGATTTTCAAATCTTTTTTTTGTTCCACAACTTTTGGCTTTGAAATCTATTGCTTGTCATCTGAGACTTGTGTGGTGGTCATCTGACTAGAAGCTGATGAACGACGAGGTATGGTAACCTTTGCTACCCTCTCCTCGCAATCTATCTCATCCTATTACTTAAACCACCTATTGTCAACTAATACTTACAAAATGTCATTTCATTTGAAAGTCTGTTACGGAACAGGCGGTTCGTACTGGACTGGCTTCAGTCTGCTGTTAGTTCTTCCAATACGATACAGATGAAGAAGCCAGCAGCGTTGATGACATAGACAGACATCTGTCAATGTTACCTTGAAACACACAAGCAGCCGATATATATATATAAGGAAAGCGAGAGGGAAATCATCGCCTTCTTAGAGAATAAACTGTAAACCATATGATATAGCATAAGCATAGTAGAGAGTCCTGCAGAGGTTAGAGAAGTATACGAAGACAACCAAAAGAAGCCATTCCTAATTTGGCAATTTCTTAAAAATTCCTCTAGAAACTCTTTAGCAACATACGTTTTTATCTTATCTTCTATTATCCATCTTTTTTTCAATTTTAGGGCTTTCCTATCACCTTCCCATTACAATCATTTGTGGAAGCTCAGTTGTACTTTTCACTACACCACAACTCTTCTATGCCATTTCTCTCCCTCTCTCTTACTTTCTCTTTCTCTATTCCAATGCGCTTTTGATTTCTTCTGTTCATGAATTTCTTCTCTCAATAGCTATTCCTTGTATAGGACACTGGTCTATTTAAACCTTATAATCATATGTTTTTTTCCGACCATATTCCTCCATAAATGACCTATAGGTCCAGATGCTCTTAACACAAAACTTTCGAGGTCTTCTTCTCACCTAATGCCTTCATTGTTCTTTCCAGAACTTCATCTATATTAGGTCATTATTTGGAGGAGAAAAAGATGAAGGAGAGAGAGAAGGAAAAAAAGAAGGAGAAGGAAGAAGAAGAAGCTTTTTCGGAGTAAAGACCTATTGGACCATACATGAATCATAGAGAGAAAAAGATTTTTGTTCAGAGGGAGATAAAAGGAATTAGGAGTTGGAGAGAGATTGGGAAATTGTCATAGGACAACCGTTTTTCGTTTCTTTTTTCTCTTTTTTTTTGGCTAAAATCATTTGGAATTACTGATTAATGGCATTTCAGCCATTTTTTCGTGCCAGGACACAGCATGTGCGCGAAAAAAGAAAATGAGGAGATGACAGCAAAAGAAAATCAAAAATAATATTTCTGCGAAATTTTTTGAGACGTTAGAGAGTTTGGATGAGGTGGCAAGATGTTTCAGCTGAGAACTATATCATTAGAGAAGCCCGTGACTAACACTTGGACTTGGATTCAAAACGAGTCGATTAGATCGTTTAATAGTCTTGTAACAAGGTCATTCTTAACTATACTAACTATAACCTTTCAATTCAATTCGCTGCAAAGTTCATTAAACTTTACCTTCTGACATCTCAAAACAGTATTACTTCATTACATCTCATGGAGGAGAAGAGAATGCAATGACCAACCGCTCTCTGCGTTTTATTACAATCGAAATGAATTGCACGCGTCTCACGTTTGCCACGCGATTCTCTCCTCCTAACTTATGCTAATTGAATGAATATTCATTAAGGATTTTGTCCGAAGTGCTTTGTTACGGAATGAAAAACGGTTGTACAAGTCGATTTTCAGCTGGAAAACGAAAAAGTACTAGAAGAAACACAAAAGCGAGAGAAAGAGGAAGAGATAGGAATGAGAGAGAGGAAGAGAAAGGGTACAAGGAAAGTACTCCAAGTATCTTTTGGAAAAGAAAAGAGAAAAGGATGAATGATCCAGACAGTTTCATTAACGATTGTATCGATCTCCTTTACCTCATTTCATTCAGTTGGAATGGTTGTACTTTAGCGTTTTCTCCATTTCCAATCTCCAGTATGCGAGTTCGTGTTAACTATATCATATAATCATCATCCTCTTTTGTTCAACTGGAACGATATGTTCATTTCTGAGAAGATAAAGAAGAGGACAATAGATTACAGACCTCCCTGTACGAAACATGTCAGACGACATTACTTCTGTTGGAACAATGGCAAAGATGGATTGTAAGCCTCTCAACCAGTATTTTTTCCATCAAATATGCAAATCGGAATAGTTGTTAGTATTTCCCAAGATCTCCGTAAACGAAATGATGGCTGAACGTCCTCAGAAATCACGTGAGCGCGTCCTTCTGCTCGTCTTTCCATTTTAATTTTTTCAAATTTCTGTCGTTTCACCGAAAATATGGTTGTGACTCTCCTCAAAAGCTCCCAAATAAGAGAAGTTGTGAAAACCTTGATGATCATCAATTTCTCTTTTTTTTTGTGTGTGTGCTATGTTCTAAATTTTTTTTCGTGTGTTCCATCTCTTGCCCAAAGATGGATGAGGAAGATACGAACTACCTGCTATCTGCCTTCCTATCAATACATTTACTTTATAAATTTAATTTTAAATAAACTTTAACCCGATCGTTCTTCTACTGTCTGTGGCAGTCGACCATCCTCTCATGTTCTTCTTGCTTTCACGAGTTCCATCAATTAGCCTGTTTGATGCTGCTTTCTGTCATTTTAGCCAAGGCTGTTGTTTCTAATAATTCGTCTCATCAACACCTTTTTTCTCCCGACATTCGCACTTTTGGACATTTCCGAATCATTTAAAACGATCATGGTGTGGTCATTTAAGGGCTGTAGACTGGTCTCTTCTCCTTTCCATAGTTTGGACACTTTTTGTCATTTCCTTTTTTTTCTTTCATTTTTTATATCATCCATACACCCCCACAAACACTAGAAACATCTGGCAAATTCCTACCTTGTGAAGTTGGTTATCAACTTGCATCCACCTTCATCCATCCTTATTTCTCAATTACTATACTTACAAACTGTCCTGCTAGCCTGCTGCTTTGTATTTAGTGTGTTCTCTCTAGTCCCATGAGCCTTTTTTTTGATTTGTTCTTCTATTTCTTCATTCCCTTCGGTTTTTATTGTTTCTCTTAAAAGAACGTGATGTTCACTCTGTTTTTTTCTTTTTGATTTTTTTCCCTCTGATCCCTTTAGCCTTCTCTTTACTCTTATTCGTCTCTCTGATCAGTCATTGAGGATAACCTTTATCTCTCTGAATAAGCTCTTTTCTCCGTCTCTCTTTTTGAATCCTTAATCACATGATGCATAGATCTTGCAATGTTTATATCTTTATATTTATATTTACCTCAGAAGATGAGGAGAAAAAAAAACATCTGCGTCTAGGTTACCTGATTTGTTTATGAGGATTGTCTGTTGAGGAACTACTCAATCTGTGGCTTACTAGATCGCCAGACACTACTCCTTTGTATGCTCATTAGAAGAGATTCTAGTGAGTGATACACATTCTTCAGGTCAGAACAGGCAGTTGCCCGAACCTATTCTTCTTTTGCCTCTGACGTCATCAAGCCATATAAGATGCTTGTACCAAATACCAAAATGAGAGGATGAGAGAAAGAGATTGAGAGTAATCTGTAAAGTTGTAATTGTCTTTCCAGGCTACACACAGCGTGTTCTAAGGCAAATTGAGTTTATGATTTTCAATCGATAATTTCCGCTTGCACTTTTCTTAGTCAGAAATTATGTAAAACTGTAATTAAGGTAGTCGAAACTGTCGGGAGGTCCTGTGGGGCGAGTAACGAAATTATCGATCCATTACATGACATGACATGTTATCAATTTACCGCAAAACACATATGCCCTCAGGTTCTCATTCTCATACCTCAGTGAGAAGTAAGCAGGAGTTGTGATAGGTTATGGAGAGAACTAATAACATGGTTTGGCCTTCGTTTCCTTAGTCATCTGGAAAGACGTTTTTTGTTTTTTTCTCGTCGTTCACAAGCCATATTAGGCTATTTACTCAAGTAAATGTCTAATCATATGACGTGTTTCATTTTTTTTTTTGTGTGGAAGGTGATGGTAAATGGTTTGTTTGTAACATCTTCATCATTTGTGAACTATTTAGAGCCTTAAAAGGCGATAGAAAGACTTAAGCGAAGGATGAGAAGGAGAGAGATAGACAACGGCATTAGAATATTTCCTCTGGTGTAGTGTGGGAAAGTTCATTGCAAAATTAAGAAAACAATCCCGCAGGTTGTAATTGGTTATTTGCCTGCAGTCATTCTGTAGGCCTTTCCGTTTACTCTCCAGCTTTCTGCGCTTTCCTGCCGCAGCTCACTCTGTAATCGAATATTCTAATATATACGTCTCGTATGCTAATTTTCTGACGCTTTCACGTTTCACTCACTTGCACTATCGTTGCGCGTCATTTTCATTTTCGTTATCTTCGCAAGCTGGCTGTGCTCATTATAGTCTTAGGTATAAATCAGTATTAATTTTTATTATGATTACAGGAACGTAAACAATCGTGACAGAGAAAGTGTTCTGGGGGTACTGTTGCTGTCCTTAATCCAGAAGCACAGCTAATATAACGAGGTAATAATCCTTCTCATATATCATTTCTTTATTTTTTGTCACTCATCCCACCTGGCGAATTGTTAGCATACAATCCCTCATGCATAGACTTCCTAATCTCCTTCTTTACTTAGCCCGCTTCTACCCAACTTGACTGTGATCGCACAGTAAGAGATTTGCGTTGAGCAACAATATTATCTACCAATATGACGGTGACAATTATTGTTGACAAGAGTTCTGGAACAAACGTCATCAGGTCATGGCAGTTTTTCCTTCTGGCATCGAGAAGATGTTTTCTTTTATAATAAACTGCCAAGTACCTTTGATAATCCATAGTCGCCTTTTCGTAACTGTTTGATGGGACTATAAAGAATCCTTTATATTAGGACAATGATCATGTTTGCTAATAGCAATATGCTTATTGCCTCTTAATAATAATAAGAGCTCTAAAGATAGTTGTCCTAAGTAGTTTTTTTTCTAAATTAATACAACTAAAAGATTATTGAGCATTAGATACATGCCATGGTCTCATTACGTGTTTGAGTTGACTTTTGGATTACTGTTATCAACGAGAGCAGTTCTCAGGTGTTTTTTGCGTATCTGGTTTGTTCTGTACTCCACTCATCTCATACTATTATCATATAGTGTTAGTTTTAACCCAACATTTTGTCTATGTAGTTTGTTTAACAGAATTTTCTACATATATAGAATGGTAAAGAGATAGAGTTACTTAGTTTCCTCACAGTTCTCGAAACACTCGGGGCGACATACCTTACACCTTTACTCGTTTTTTAATGCCAATACGTACGCAAGTTCATGTCATGTTTTGCAGTACTATTTAGGATTTTCTAAGTTTTTTGAGGCTTTCAACATCATCATTGAGAGATATATAGAAACAAACACAACCTTGAGCACTCAATCATATCTCATTATAATGTTTTCTGAATATTCGCAGTTCAATTCATCTTATTATACAGTTGACTTGCTTACAAATTAGCCAGACATTTCTCAATTTTTCTCTGGAACAGTCAATCCTTAAATGCCCAAATTCTCATTTTCCGTTCTCTTTTCTATAACTTCTCCCTCTACAGATGTTTTATTTAGATATCTCTTAGAGCGTATTGAGGAGGCGGAGTCAGACCGCCCCCGCTGGAACGGTCTGTTGCCTCGCGCATAACCTGGGTTGTCTTAAGGGTTGCGAGGACAGTCTGCGGGTCTTAGATGGCTCCACTTATGAACTTCTATCCTTGCATGAATGTTGCTCACTCATTTGCTTATTCTTTCCTTTCTTGTCTTTACTTTTTTCATCTATTTTTCGCTCACAGTTATCATTATAGCCCTCGCCCGAATACAGTCTGTCGTCCTTTAACAACATTCAAGTTGTAGAAGGTTCCGTCAACTGTCATGATGTCTACTGACGAGTTGGTCTCCTCACTTAGTTGTACTGAACTGCTTGCGGATTCCCCTTCGACATCAAGGTAGATATATGCATGCAACACTATTTCGTAATCACTTGCATTTCCAGAAACCAACAACGATCTGAGAATCGAAGACGTTCTAATCGTATCGTTTTGCAACCCGTCACCAACAAAGTTCTTGGTTCGGTAAGTATCTTTTATTTTTTTTTCTAAAAAATTTGCGATTATTCCTCATATTTCATTTTTGACTTCCTCTCCTCAAGTCAGTTTTGATATCTTGAAAATGTAACTCTTTGTCTGCCCCATACTGTGATCATATGCCGACCAGATGTCTATCGTCAATAGTTCGAAACTCTAAGTATATTATGACTTGATCAATATTTATATATTAAAAAATATTTTGCGAAAAGTAGCGAAAAAAACTGACACCCATCTTCCACAATGATTTTGGTTTGTTATCTCATCATCACCATCATCATCTTTTCGCTCCTGTCTGTTGATTATAATCTTTCTCAGTTGGTTGTTATAGTTAGAACATCACTCTAGTGGTTTTTTATGCTAATCTTACTTACATCTAACTTGTCTGCCATCTATGACCTCAGTTGTTTCTGATAGTTTCCATCCTGACTTCATGGCCAGATGGAGTTCATCTCAAAATCTTCTGCTTTAGTTCCTCTTTCATATTTGTCTTTAAAGGCTGTAGTTTCCCGCAAAAGAACATCTGCTGATAGTCGGTTGAACACTGCTCAGCATGTAGCTGTAGGAACATTGTCTGATAAAGCACTTGCTGCGGATACTAGAGTTTTAGCCAATTTACGCATTGCCGAGGTAGGCTTTTGCTCGATATGAATCTCTATGTCTCTTTGTTCCAGACCATGACGACAGTTAATAGCCATTACTTCACCTCGGTCCAGGATCATGTCCAACCCATTCATCGCGAACAAGCCATTGAATGGATTTATGATGTTTCCAAGGTATGCAGTCTTTCTTCTGATTCTCATTATATTAAAACTTTAAGGAAGAACGATGTGATGCAGACATCTTCCCTTTGGCTGTATCTTTGATGGATCGATTTCTATCTATTCAAAATATTTTTAAAACTGATATTCAGGTGTGTCCTTCTTCCGTTCAACTTCTGTAGACACTTCTTTACAGGTTTTGGCTGGAGTTTGTTTGTTTATTGCTAGTAAGGTCAAAGCTCCTCAGCCCTTGAATGCGCAACGAATGTCATACTACACGGCTGATAGCGTTCAAGTTCATGACTTCTTGGTAACCTTAATTTCAATAAGCTCTTCAGTAAATTCATTTTTTTCAAGGCCTGGGAGTTGTTAGTTTTATCTCAGTTGGATTGGGATATTAATTGTCCCACAGCCTTTGATTTTTTTGACCAACTGGCAGCACATGTCCCATCCCTCGCTTTGGTCAAAGACGACTTTACCTCCGTAGTACATAAAATTCAAAAAAGTGAGTTGATATTTCCGTTCCTCCAAAAATATCTGGTAAAATCAAACTGAGAGGTATTTTGCGCGATACCACCTCTTTGCAAAGATACGAAATCATGACGTTCTTCACACTTCTCCATTATCTTCCCAAGTTCTTTGCCTTCTTAACTTCTCCCACGGACAGCCGTTTTTGGGTCTAGTCCTTAGTCGGGTGCGACCTAATCGGATACACTTCCCCTGCCGACTTTCAACGGGTGGTCTAATTCTGACAACAGAAGTTTATAGAAACTGGGCTACCAAGTTTACTTTACTAAAGGGTTTTGCTTCTGAGAAAGAATCGGTTAGCTGCTGGTAGAGTGGAATGCGACCGATTTCGAAGTTGCCCTTTGGCGCAAGATCATGCCTCATTGGCTTCATCGCTCAATGTTTGTTGATATCCTTGGCGTCCTGGTACCGACACCAGGATTTCTTTGTGTGGCTTAGGCTCTCTGTTAATAGTATTTGCTAGGTAGGAAAAGGCAATTGACCGTATCGTCAGCATGAACCTTGCTAATCTACTCATTGTTAGTCATTGGAATGACTTGTATAGCATTGTGGAACCACAGGAGTCCCGGTAGTGCGCCAACGGTATAACTGGGACGACACGGGCCTAGTATGGGCCACCTAAGTTGAAATTAGCATAACAATGGATTCCGACCACACGTATCCAGTGTTTCTACATATTCAACGACATCCTTACATTTTTCTCTTTTCTGTCTTGACTATCGAGACTCGTTTTCGATCTCATCGCCTTTTATAGCTATCTTCGCGAAACACAGACGCGCGAAACACCTTAGAATAACTACAAGGGACTCTTTCTCTCTTTGATCTTATCGAATTTGCCAGACAATGTTGTCATTAATAATGTATAGTTTTGAAGTGATCGTTTCCTCTCTTATCCATTTATGAAAATTGATGACACCTCAATACTTTCGGGGGGAATACGTGTTTGTGATAGAAAGTGATGACATGCTAGCTGTTTGAACTTCAGTGTAGCAATACAAGAGCCATCTCTCAGATTTTTTTAATCGGAGATGTGATTCGGCGTCCTTTTAAACAAAGAGGCACGACTCACTCTTCATGATGATGGGTTCCCAGGGGTTAGGCGTAGGCATTTTTTGAAACGGATAAGTTGTACTGACTGGTACATCCTTTTCCGCCTTCCGTGTTTCAACAGCTATTTTTTGAACAGCCAGGTTGTGTCAGACTTCATGCTGATGAATCAGATATATTTCAAGGGAATAAGGCTAATGAACCTGTACTCTCTGTCTCATCAGCTGTATTCCTCACTTCTGGGTCACTCTGAATTTGTTAAATTTTTGAATGATGGTAGTAGGGAAGACAATACGCTTGATGAGATGGATTAGACGTGTTGGCATCTGCTACTGCTGTTATGTCTTCATATTTTTGTATGATGGTACTGTATGTGAGATATGAAGTGAGTAGAGCCTAATGCACCTGTTACTCATTCGCTTAACATGCTAAGGCTTTTGTTTTGAATTTCGGTGAAGAGACTTGCCACGTTCCGTCTTTATGGTTTTTGGCGTAATCCGCTCAGCTCCATCTATTATGATTGTTTATGACTTGATTTGAACGTGTTTAAGTATTCCGTCTCCGTCGGCACTCAAAATCATCTGGTCAATTATGCACAATCCTCAGAGTATAGGCTCTTGAAGAAAATCTTACGAAAATGTTATCCAGATTAGCTATTCTACTGGCATCCGCCTGACCATTAGGAGACCCAATCTCTTTCATAACCATACATACCGCTGCCCATCTGTCGCCAGTTGCTTCTAAGATTCAAACGCTGAACCGATAGCATGAGTATTTCTTTGTTTCTTAACGGGTCAATTATGTGTTGCTGTTGCAATCGTCTACCATATATGGTGCGGCGGACTGTCAAATTATTTCTTCGGAAGAAAGCTAACCTCGGGACGATTAACTTCCAGTTTCATATAGTTACGGACCTTGGAACGGAGTTCTGTTGACGAGATAGTTGGCGCCAACGAATCAAAAATTTTCAACCATTTTCGACAAGGTAGCCTATCAAGGGAGGTGATACGCGTGCCGATCCTCAAGAAAAATTCATTTTTCTATTTGAAAATACCGAAAATTCGCCCCGTCCTTGGCTACTAGTGTTATCGTTTGAAATCAGTTAAAGACAACGCTAGAAGTATTCAAGCAACCTTGGCGCTTAGTCGAGGCTTTTCCACACTTCACACCCATTGAAGCAACATTATAAGCGCTTGATTGTTATCGATGTTACAAGCGCGAAATTGTAGCATTTGACTTGAGGAATCAGTAGAGAATTTTTCAATTTTCTTGATTAATAGCCGTTTTCCCGCTTCGTAGTACTTCTTCAAATGTCGTTTGGAAATTGAAAGCTTCGTGAGGAATGTGAGGGAAAGAGACATATCGTCTGTTCACCTAGATCACCTAAGATTTAAATCCTTTCGACCTCCTGAATGCTTGCTCGGTTTATCAATTTACTGTCAATGAGATAAACAAAGACAGACAATGGAAACAGTTGTCGTCCCGTGTGGCTTCTCGTTGCTGAGGAAGAAGGATTGCGCTTCTCCTTTGTCTTCTGCTGTTCAGCCTCTTTCTGTTGGCAAGGAGGATCGTAAAAGTTTACTGTTCAAATGGCGTTGCTGCTGTTACCCAATAAACATTGTTCCAAATGAGGCGAGGTGACTTGACCTATCACCTATTATGCATACTTTCAATGAACTTCAAAGTCTACCGCCAGAAGTTTATGATTGCCTCATACGGAGAAGTTTGAATGTTCTCCATGACCTGCAAAAGGTAGTAACTTGAGCTATTGAGATTTGAAATCATAATAAACTACATAAGCGGTTAATCTCTTTTGTTTTTGTGTTTACCGAGTTGCGCACATTCTCTGTTTGCTGATCATTAGCTGAATTAGGTAGAGTTTACATAAACATTCCCAAATGCTTGAGATTGTCATTTGTCCCTAATGGCATCTGATGGATGAGCTTCCTTGACTCATTTGTTTATTCATGTTTGATGCATTTGGGTTAATTTGAAGAAGATGAAGGAATGACTTACTTCTGCTAAGAAAGAAATATGAATCGTTTTGGTCATATTGGACGATATCCCGCAGAGTTTCCAACCACGGCAGCTGCCGATTCTCGCGCACAATGGTTGTCCTCTGGCCTGCTTATCATTCATGTCCGAGATTTTGACATCGAAAAAAGGAGAATGGGGGACATTTGCTGGAGGTTTTGGTTTTTTAGTTTTGCTAGGCAAGTGTCACTTTTCTGGAATTGTCTATTGGCTTAAGCTCATCTCCAGCAAATTTTTCTGAATCGGAGACTTCCACAAAGCCTTTGTTGTCTTTGCTTAGCTAAATCCCTGTCATTTCGGCCTTTATCCGATTATAATCTTCCTCCCTGATACTGTATCTACACCTGAGCGAATCCAGGTTTTCGACAGCATCACGTTTTCTTAGATGACGACGAGCGCGTGCCGAAATATCAGTAATCTTCTTAAGATTTATGGACTAATATGGCAATACATTGTAGGTCGGTAGACCTGTTATATATAGATTTGAATCATAGATGCGCACGAGCACTCTTTCTGACAGGCTCAAACGTACTAAATCATATTCGATGTAACTTAGAAACATACCCCTCTTGGCAGGGCTGACGGCCGATCTTTGTATTCGTTGTCTAATGAGTAGGGGACAGCAGCAGTACTACATCAAGTTATGTAACTGTCATACACTGTCATTTGTTGCAAATGTCTTCATATAAATAAGATCAGAGAGAAAAGGGTATAATTTACTTTTGAAGGGAGAAATCAAAAAGTTCTAGCCGCTTCTCTCTCTCTCTCTGATTAGAAAAAACATTTTCTGAAAATTTGAAAGACAGGAAATGGTGTACTGTAGATTTGCATGATTTTTTTGAACTAGTTTTGACTGACAAATGCCTTGCACATTTGGAATAGCCATAGTCTACACATGTTTTTGAAATTAATGGCGATCGATGTTGAGTTTCTTGCCATTTTCTACCTTCTTGGCCTTCTTCTCTTAGAACAAAAGGTTCTTTTTCGTGTGTATATGTGTTTTCTGCGTTATTGCATGTTGATTTTCAACGTAGATGCGCGAACGTAATTTCTTTATAAGAAAGTGCGTAGAGAAAGATGCACCCTTGGGGGTCCGTGGTGTTACCGGCGGAGATCTACGTTTTTCTTCGTCTAGACTTTCAGTGTCTTTATTCTGTTGAATACGATGAGGGACGTTCTTGTAAAAGCAAATCTTCTGCTCTAATTGAGCGTGGTGATTCTGTAAAAGAGAACAAAGAAAGGAACATGTCTCATGCCATCATAAGTCCTGACGACGTCATCATAGGACAGCCTAACGAACAGAATGATGGCGCAATATATGGCTTTCCTTCGGTTCATTGAGGATAATAATGTTCAAATTGGCACGAATCCCAGCCTATTGTCACATACATAATTGATTATTTCTTCACATTCATCATCATCATCATCATCTTCTTCTTGACATCATTCAAAGAGTATTGTGTTTGAATATGGGAGAAGCAACTGTATGTCAGAACTTGTCACATACTGTATAGTAATGGGATGTTTCAAATTCGCTTTTTCTCTTCTACGGAATTTGGTTGCTTTCAAATAAAATTCATTTAAAAGGTGCTAGAATTTACACCTTTGCAACAGCCGCCTGTGGTACATACCGGTCGTGATAACATCTCAGAGGTGGTCGGTGTCGATTGAAACAGTTTTGTAACGCAAAGTTCCTCCAGTTTTTTATTCACTTATTCACCACAAAAATGCGAAAAAAGAGAAACTTTTCTATGTCAAACGAAAGACTTACTTGTCCTTTTTCAGATGTTAAACTAGGCATGATGCTTCCTTCAATACAATGCGCTCTTTCATTAGTTTACGCTGCTGAACGATTCGCCAATCAGAGCTTGGTGAATGAATTAGCTAGGATATTGCCAATGACCTTAGGCATGGAAATGGTAAGTCCTTTCAAATCACTTAAATGACTTATCTTATCATTCTTCAGAAAATTCTCAAAGGCTTCTCCCCATTACTAGAACGGGCTATCTCTGATGGAAGTCACACTCTGGCTGCTTCTCCTTGTGCTCCGCCAACTTCTTGCCGGACGCCATCTCCATCTATGGCTGCATGTCCATTCGTGCCAGCAACTCCTAATAATGACTCTGGCTTCTGTTCTGGCGTCAGCTCTCCCGAATCTGCGTGTAAGAAGGATCTCGACTGTTCTCCACCTAAGCATGCTCGACTGTCATGCTGAAGTGAAGAAGACAGAAAACAGAAACAGACGTCATCTGGTCTTTATCAAATCAATAGTCTGAAATAGTCATGAATGCGAATGCGATCACACGCCAAACGCCCTTAAGCTATAAATAGCCTAGTCAGTCACTTCCTGTCTTTGCCTACTCTCAGAGTTCCCGCTCTATATGTAACTTAAGTTTTAGCTCAAATATCTTTCGTTTTATCATATCTATCGCGATTTATCTAACGTGTATTTCTGTCTTATGTATGTTGTTAATCTCGGTGTCTTCGTTTGTTTTTATGTTTCCATGCGTTCTCTTCTCTGTGTCCGCGACTGTCTCTTTACTCGGCTTTCATCAGTTCTCCCGAAGCCCAAGTAAAGTTACTGTCGCAGTGTGCAGATCGTGATTAGTCAAAGATTTACTTACATTGCTCTGTAAATAACGTGTTTTGTGTTTTATCTATTGATTTGGCCAATCCTTTTGCTAGCCTTCATGGCGAAACAGAGGTTCTGTGCTCGCCCCCTGTGTATAGCAGCTTCGCGCTAGTATCTCCGGCTTATGCCTTTGTTCCCATGAATATCGTTCCCAGTATCTCTTTTATCAATTTACCCTGTTTGTTACATTTTCGTTGCTCACTTTTATTATTGAATGAATGAATAAATTATTACTGACAGTTTTTGGTCTTCTCAATCTCCTCAGCTAATGGTTATGAAACCACACATGGTGTACAACTGCAAAGATAATTACAAGGAAATGGCTACATCGAGGTCCGTTATCCGGTTATTGTCCGATTTTGTAGCTCATTTACCTCGACCTTCCTCCACACACTTTTTTCTTCACTCATTTCCGCCCTTTATATTTTGTCTCATCATTTCTATTGGTATGAATGACGGATGTACGTCTTCGGAATATAGAGATGAAAACTAGTTTCGTCTTAACTGTCAACCCGAAAGAAACTAAATCGTTTGTTCTTCGAACTTTTTCTAAACCAACAGCTGTTGCAAACACATAATTTATATTTAATAAGAATCAAAATATTCCAAGACATTATGTGCTCTTTGGCCAGAATGCCACCTTGTCGCAACCCCTCAACTCTTGAAATCTTGTTCGTTTCGAGACCAATTTCTGAAAATTAAAATTTTTTTCTGAAAAAGCCCCGGTTTACAGCTTTATTTTGAGCTTTTACTTCTTTAATTGATGTTGTTTTAAATATTATCTGTGATGAAGTGAATCTCGAAGTGTTCGTTGGTCGGGGGGAAACGAGCTTATGAAGGTTCCTTCATTCATCAGCCTCAGTTGCTTCGTCACTTTTTCTTGATCGGTCATGTTTGTTTCAGGTTGTTGTTAAGGATCCCTGGAGGTTAAGTTTGGGTTTTTTTAGAGACGGCTGTACTGATAGAGTGGATGCAACACATGCTTCCTTCCTTCAATTAATCGAGATCCCTATGTGGTCTTGGCGGTCTGGTCTAGGTTCTATAGGATACGTCCTCTCGCCTTTCTGATACTCTTCCTGCTCCCTGATGTTTCGAGTAGATCTAACATCTATTGGAGCTACCATCATCTCGCTCAGGTTGGGGACATGGAAGTTGATCGTACGTCTCAATTCTACCTTTCTCAGATTGATTTCAATATTTTCAGTGAATTCAGATGTATTAACTGCTTCCTTGTCTTGTTAGTAGCATTCCGAGTGAATGAGTAGCAGGTAGGACCCACCATCAGACCGTGCCGTCCGTTCAGGCCTAGCCGCGAAGCAGATAAGATTGAATGTTCAGCTGAATTTTTGAAATTAGGTTTCTCCAGGTTTACGAGCAGAAGATTAGTCTGGTACTATAAGGTGGAGGTTGGCATCAACGACGACTGAGCTGGTACCGGCCAGCATCTCGCCTGAATCAGAGGACTTGGAAGTTCATCGTATGTCTCAGTTTTCTCTTTCTCGGATTAATCGTTACTTTTTCAGTCGACTCAGATGGATTAACAGCTTCCTTGTCCTGTTAGAACCATTTCAAGCGAATGATAAGCAGGTCTGATTGAGTGTTAAGCCAAGCATAGTTGGGTCACTTCAGGTTCATGAGCAGGAGAACACAGTGGGATAAAGGACGTCAACAACGGATACCATGATCTG